TGTACACCTATAAGTTCGCACTGTTGTCTGTCCGTCAGTCTTTCTTTAATCTCGAGAACAAAATTATATAGGTGAAATCCGCGACAAGACGTGAAAACCATAGGAGCAGGAAGTCCCGATTAACTATATATGAACTTCCAAAAGTCACATTATTTCAATTGAAAACTTCCCCTGAAAGCAGTTAATAGGTGATCGGCACGACTCTATTGTTAAAAGAAAAGTATGATGCACAGGGGCAAGTCACTACTAATTTGAGGTGGAGAGCATATATTTTAAATTAAAAATATAATTAAAAATTGCAGCCTGGAATTGTGACGATGTCACAATAAATAATCGCTCATTTTGTTATAGATTATTCTATTAAGAATTTCTTTCTTCATTTGAGAGAGAGTTTTTAAGGTTCGCAAATATTGATATCTGTAAAATACGATGAAACAAGTCTATACAAAGATACAGAAATAAAACAAAATTTATTTTATTAAGAGAGGATTAAAAAACAAAAAAAAATATTGATACAGCTTTGTCCAATTCTTTTTCGTCCCTGCATTCAACTTTGTATTTAAATACAACGACTGGACAGTGTTCTATAGAATCGACGACAAATGTCTCTTCTATGCTTTTGCACCCCGTAAAAGTAAATGAAAACGTGACTATTGCTCATACCTTAGCTAATGTCATAACTCGTGATCTGATGCTACAATAGAAGAGCAGTTGATATTCTCCCGAAAAGCACTTTATAAGAAAAAAACATAAGAGAAACAATATGAAACTGTACCTGTCACTTAATTAAGGAAGATCAGTACAAAATATTGTACTAATGTTGCTGTACAATAATGATATAAAAACTCAAAATATTAGCATCTCAATATTGAAGTAATATTCGAAAACAAAGTGGAAACAACTCTGAAATATTATAACTTAATTCAGTATTCAATCAACACTGACTCAACACATCTGTGCTGTTAGGAACTATATACACATGTTACAACATCCCGTAAAAAATAACTTTTCAAGTTGGTCGGCAAACTAAACTTCTGAGACAACAAATAACTCTTAATCAAACGTTTTCTTCAACACTAGGAACGGATGACGATCCAAAAGAGCGGAGAATAAGCCGGATGATTCAACAATTGGAATCCCAAAACTTTGATTTTCTGGGAAAATCAAGTGTGTAGTTTGGTGAGCGGTAGGGGAGCCGCGCTATCTTACGGAAAGAACATTTTCTGTCTCAGTTTCCCGTTTTGATCTCCAGGTCTTTGGCACATACTTTATCAAAATGATTCCGTTCTTATCCCAAAACATGGGAACCATGATTTTTACGATCGACTTGTAAACACGAAGCTTTTTCAGCCGAAGCCATCCTCTATGACGTCGCTCTTTAGATCTTAATGGCGAAATCACGTTTTATCCCATGGTAACCAGGGAAGCGATCATGCAATTCGCTTCTGGTCTACGTTGAGAAATTTCGGAATCTATTTTACAGACAACTGTTTTTTATGTCCAAGATATTAAAATTGGAGGAACGTTGTAACAGATGTGTACGGAGAGAGTGATTATGTTGAATAAAATTGATTCAGTCTACAAAATATACTTTTTCTTGTAGGTAAAGTGGCAAACTTTTCAGCACTTCTCAAATTAAATATTTATGAGAGCGTTTCCATTCACCAACGAAGTGTTGGTGTATTGAAACGCTTCGTTCACATGTATTCATCGATATCTTACGAGGGCGCGAATTTTATAATTTTTCACACGTTTTTCTATGTTATTTTGTTTTATATAAATTTACACATATATCGATTTCGGATCGAATGCTTGCAACTTAATTAATGTTATTGATATCTCTAAATATTTGTTGCCGGAAAATTTGTTTCACTAGGGTTGACAACTTTCAGAGTAACAAATTTCAGTGTCAAAAGCACCAACTTGAAAAGAGTAATGAGCGAAACAAAACCTTTCTTCTAAAGCCGGATGACCGATGCACTTTAAGTTTCATTCTACAGTTCTGGGAGACCCGAAATTGAATTTAAGTGAGCAATCTGAGAATTTTTCATGGTCTGTTCGTCCCGTCCTTAATCATTCTGCTTGGCTATCTGAGCGTGGCCAAACTTGAAGTCGCCGCACATTTCAAGTTTTCGAGATTTTCCCGATTTATATCATTTCATCTCTATTGGAAAATTTTTCCGACATGTCCCTATTTGTTCATTTCTACAAAAGTGCCTCGATTTGTATTTAAAAAAGGCCAAATAAGAACTGTAGGAAATAAGTATCGTTTATCGTCCTCACCATGTCACCCAGTCTTTACAATCTCATATGCGTACGCCTTTAGTAATCTTTGGAGCACGTGTCGTGTTTTGTGGCTCTGTGCGATGGCTTCAAAACTACCGATATTTTCGTGCTATCATTGACGATAGATCAAACAATGTTTACATCTATCCACAGTTTAGCTTGTTTTTTCTTTGCTCTTTTTGCTCTTTGGGCACCAAGAGGACTTTTATATATAATTGTGTCCATCCTGGATTCGATCGTATCCACAATGGGAGAGTCGGATTTACTAAGAAAAACTTAAATATATATAACACAATAACAAATAGAAAAAATGTTCAATACAGTAATTGATAAATTCAATAAAATTTATTTAATTAGAATTATTCACTTATTTTCCAGAGTAGCTACTACAATGCTAACTCACAAATGTCTCGATTTCTGATTTCGAACTGCATCCCTAGTCAAACTCATATTGAATATGGTTAAAAGAGGGCTTTTTAGTGCCTATTTTAACCATTAAGAGGCAAAATTTATATAGAGGAGAAGGTGGTATTATGGAACACTGCGGGTATTATGGAACCACCCCATTTCGAACCCATTTTGATAATAAAGGCGAACTGTAGCGGAATGTGGCTGAACTGAACTAGGCAGACATCCATAGCAAGGGGAAAACCCGTTTTTCTTCAGTTAAACGGTTGTCCGCATTTAATCAGCAAATTTTTTTCATCAGTTTTTTTTCAAAATTCGCAAGTTTTGAATGCTAAGTGAATTTAATTATTTTTAAAATACAAATCGTGTAGTTGTAGGTTCACTGGTGCATGTATTCCGTTCAAGAGATTTAGGGGTACATATTAATCTGTGTGATGTTCACGTTTTTTAAATTTTGGTCTCGACAGACATAAGTTAATTCGAGATGGCGATGCGTGAAATACGGACCCCATTGGTGCTTTTACAGTAATATGGAACTCAACTCCTCCGAACTTTCTATTTGCAAGCAGACATTCCTCCAGAGCAATTTGTGAAAAAGACACTAGGTAGAAAGCCAATTCTTCCTGAGAATATCAAAAAAGAGCTGCTGGAATATATATTGTTGATGGAGGTCATATTTTTCTATTATAAAAGCATTTTTGCGATAAAATACATTGGAGTAAATAATTTGGTAATTATTTAACATTTTTTGTCCTTTCCTATTTGTTTTTGGCTACATTAAAGCATTTTTTTGACAATATACGGTAAGGTTCCATATTACCACCCGATTTTCTCTAAGCCTACTTTCGGACTTTTTGTGTGAAAGCCTTCAAAAACCATACTTATAATTACACTAGCGAAAAATCCAATTAGGAACATTTAGTTTACTAGTTACCAGTACTTTTCACACAAAAAATGTGGGTGTAGTTATGATACCTTGTTTACAATTCACTAAAAGGTAATTGGGGTTCCATAATACCACCTTCTCCTCTATATATAAAAAAGTTAAACCTAACGGTAATAAAAATAATTCGGATTAGGATTAAGGATGACAACTTCTCATGAGGAAGAGGAACGAGCTAAAACAAAAACACGCGACTGTTCGTTCATTTGTCAGAATATTTCCGAACTATTTTTAAAATGTAACTAAAACTTCCTACAGTTCGGAAAGTTCCAAACATTTACCAAATTTCGAGGATACTCTAAATATTTTATGTATGTAACTCTTGATAAAATATTTCTATTATTTATGATTTTAAATATGAAACGTTGAATTTATTTTTCACGTTTAACGTTTGAATTTTCAGCTATAACAAATTAATGCAATTAAACGCTTCATTAACATGAATTATATTACTGATCTCTGAAATGTGTTTTCCTTGCGTGATATTGCTTCGGTTTTACAATCGGATAATGTGATTTCTCTAAATTTCATTCAAATAGTACATAAGCACTCTATGTGCTATAAGCTCCTTGTTTACAAGATCTGGCCGGCATTAAAGAGAGAGAGAATACGACATCCCAATTTGTACTACTTATGATAGATTATAAAAATCTGAATAGAATTCGAACTCAATTAAACGACTCATATCTTATCGTGAGGTCATTTGACTGAGTAAAATCAGAATGACAAATGGCCGAGCGCGGTACCTCCTGTCTAGAGGACTCGTGATCAAATCCGACCAGTTTTTTTTTTAAACTCTTTACGCCCTGTGGGCACTAAGAGGGCCTTTTTTTAGCAAGCCCATTATGGGTTCGGCCAAGCCTACAATGGGGCGACCGGGTGGTGACGGATGGATTCCGATATATCCGGTCGGACCACCCCCGAAAGATTTCTGGGAATTTTTCGACCCCTCCGGACTCGATCCCGAATTCCCCAGAGCGGTAGGCTGCCACCTTAACCGCTCGGCTATCCGGCCGTCATTCCGACCAGTCTAAAAACATCAAGAATTTTTCCTGAACGAACCCTACTTAGTGAATAAATTTTAACCATAAGAATTAAAAATTCTTCCAGTAAGTTTTACTTTGATGATACTTTTGTAAAGAAAATTTCTACGTTTTAATATCGTTAAATTCAATTTCAATTATATATATATTTTCTGATTTATATATATTAATTATTCATTTAATATATACAAAACGAACTTTTTAATTTGTTATAATTTAAAATTTGTATTATTAACTATTACAATAAATATCAGTGTAACGATGTCTATTAAAAATTGATTTTGTTTTCCATGTCGGAAGTGACGTATTATAAAATTTAAACTAGACTCCACCTACTACTGACAGGTGTTATGACGTATTGTTGACAGCCGTTATGGCGGAAAGTTTGGAACGGTTTGTATCCTTCGAATTGTAATTCATCTTATAATTCGGAATGGATTTGACTGAAATCGAAGACAGAACTTTACCTCCTATAAATATGGAGCTTAGGTGAATATGATTGTTAATGTTTGAACAATCTTTAACTATTAAGAAACTCAAATGGTATGGTAATTAGATATTAATTTTAGAGATTATATGAATACTACATTAAGGATATAAAGAAATGCTTCATAAAATAAGATGTTATGTGCTTGTATATATAAAGCACATAACATCTGAATCTCATTTATGTTAAAATTCACATGGAAAAGAGAATGTATAGAGTTTTTCAGAAAGAGTAGAAAAATTTATGTACTGTAATTGGTAGGTTAATGAACAATACACATATTTCTGGCTAAAATTGATAATATATTATTATTATTAATATACATATTTTACGAGTTGATGTTTAAAATTATTGTATTGTTTGCTTGAAGAAGGGAGATAAATGATGATTTACATAATTCTTTCTTTTATAAACATGTTATAGTGCATTTAAAAACATTTGACTTTACAGCATTTTCTGTGTTGTCAAGATGCACAGTATTTCAAGTATAGTTCCTCTTCAGTTTATCAAAAACATCTTCAATTAATACTGTATTATATTTTAATACTACAGGTAACCCCCGTATAACATGGGAGTTATGTTCCAAAAAATTGCAGTGTTATGCGAATCCGTGTTATACAAAACAAAGAACTAGTACGAAAAGGGGGTTAGGTTCCAAAAATTAAAAAAACATGCTACTATATTTTCATAATTAAGATAAATATCTTTATTAAAATTTTCTTAAGCAATACATATTAATATAAATTAAACAATGTTTTCTTTGTCATCACTAAGCACTATTAACCAAGGGCATTTTCTTTTTGGCAAGATATCCTTATCTTCTGAGCATTTTTCTGCATTATCTTCAGATTCATGCTCTACCTTTTGCAAAATATATGTTAACAACATAGAAAATTTCAATTATAGAAACGAACTCCATCCAGAGAATAATGTGTCCAGCTCATCGGATTGATATTATTGAGAAAATACAAGGTGAGATTCAAAAAATCCTAATCGATTTAAACTTTCCCAAAATACACCTAAGAGAAAATAGACCATTAAGAACACTCTCCAACGAAAAGGAGATGGAAATAAAGCCAAGTGTTTATTTAAAACTCAATTTTGAGTTCAAAGTCCAAAAAAAATGTTATTTTAGATTGCTTGCTTTTAGTTAAAAGATCTTTATAAATTTCCTTATATGGTGCTAAGCACTTATGAAGAATAAAGCAAGTATGGAATAAGGGAAAAACATCTGGCAACACAAAAGCAGAAGCGTTGAGATCTGGCAACACAAACAAGTTTCGAGAAGGACCACAGAAGGCGGGAAAAGAAAATTTACATACTTAAGTACTAATAGTTCACGAAAATTATGCAGAAAAATCTGATAGTATGTATGCGCTCGAATGAAAAATGTCAAATGAGGTATCTTTCGCACTTAAAAGCTTTATCACGTTTATTGAACTGTTGCACAGGGATTTCCCTAATTTCAAATTAGATAAAGTTTGCTTTTAATAGTTTTTATTACTGTACATTTCATGTTGTACGAGGGTTTTACCCAATTCTCGAACCGTGTTAGAGTGAATCCATGCTATAGAAGTGCCGTGTTATACGGGGGTTACCTGTATATATCCTTTAGAGAATTTATTATACATCCAAGAATTATAACTAATACATTTTATTATGTATGTTCTGACATAAAGAATTGTATATTTTAAATTTTGAAGTAATTATAATTTTCATAAATAAAAGTTCAATACAGCAATTATACACTTAATAGTATAAACAAAATATAAATTGAAATGTTTAACAAAGAAAATACTTTGCTTCTGTTTATCATCCGTCATTCGCTCCAGTTGACAGTCCTCAATTTCACAAATATCGATACGACCTTTCTTTTGAGGCTACTACCTCTGCCATAAAATGCAAATATGGTAAAAATGTCCTCTGATGCTATCGCCACTTTCACATAAAATACATGTTAAGTGCAAAATTATTAAATGTCGGCCATGATTTATATTTTATACTAGCTGCAAGGACCCGCTTCGCTGGGTTTTTGTTTGTTCGTACATTTGTATATAATATAGTTGTTTTTATATATAAAAGACTGTTTTTCTAAGTAATCTAGAATCTAGCTGCAAGGACCCGCTTCGCTGGGCAAAAAGTAACGATAGTGAAGATTAAGATAATTACATTATAGCCAATCTTACCCGTTTTCACAGAATGCAAGAATTAGGTCCCCCGTTTCCAGACTAATTAGAGAATTTTTACGTTTAGTCAAACGAACTATTTTCAACGTTTCTGGAACGTTTACAATCGTTCTATAATCGAACCAATATTCGAATTTTATGTTCGAATTTAATTCGAACAAATTCGAACAAAACATTCGAAATAGAAAGCCACTTTCAACCACTTTCAGCCTCATATCTCCCGCACCCTTATAGCTATCGAGACGCAACCCCCATAGTGCACGAATGGAGACTTGGGGCTACCACCACATACAAACAGCATTCATGTGCGATGTATAGTTTTTGCGGAAAAGTGAAATATAGGGACACACACGTCCATTTTTATATATATATAGATTTACTTAAACAGTAATTATACTTTATACTAAATTATAGATTATAAATAAAATATGAAAGTTAGACTTAATATGCATATTAACTTCATGAAATGTGAACTTATAACAGACATACAATTCAGGATTACTTCATATTTATCAGGGCTACAGAGTTGGTAAAATATACCAGGGCTGTGGAGTCGCGTAAAAATCTACCGACTCCGACTTTTCCTTACCATCCGACTCCAACTAAAACACAAAAACTCCACGACTCCGATTCCACAGCCCTGAAATATACCAACTCTGCTTTGACCTCAACATAAATATAAACTATAGATTTATACTTAAATATAATTATAAGTCTAGAAAGTAGCCCGATGATTCATTTGGTGATTATGAAATTTTTATGGCATCACATATTATTTTAGTAGACTTATCATTATTTAATATATATTAATATTTAAAAATTAGGGAGCTGAGGTTAGTTGTTTTGTGTATCAACTCTGCAGCTTTGCTATTTACTGATTCATTATTATTTGTTATGTTTAGTTATAGAGATTATGCAGAGAAAGTAGGATGGTAAATTACAAGCCATTCTATTTTCTCTGCATGGTCTCTACAATGATATACAATATTCAACATTCTCTGAAACTCTAATATAATGAAAGTGTGTACATAAGTAATGTAAAACCTTTGACACTTTTTCTAGCAATTTTCTTTAATCGAACTAATGTTTTTGGCTATATTTAATGGCCTTCCTCAGGTTCAACAATATTTAGAGTTTTTTCTTTTCTTTTGTAAAAACTATGACGTCATCAGAACGAAAACAAATTTTTGAACATCTGACATTCCAAATATTGTCGAACCTGAGGAAGGCCATTAAATATAGCCAAAAATGTTAGTTCAATTAAAGAAAATTGCTAGAAAAAGTTACTTATTTACAGAAGTTCTACTTTCCATGCATAGAAAGTGTGTACTCACAACTGCAGGCTGTAAAGAGATTGAGAGGTATATTCCTTGAATTTCAAACTTCAATAGAACTGAGGCTGAAAAATGATCATTTATCAAAGAAAGTTACAACCAGGAGCAGTTACTTACACCATACAACAGTTTCTCATTTGTGTGAAAATGCTGCAATATTAGATAAACTTTCATCTGTGGGAAATGATGAAAATTGCTATGGATGAGGTCTGGGTTCCTACAGTTGGTGTAGGAACAGTTCCCAATAAAACTGCAGTGGAAAGTGTTTTAATACAAGTAACTGTGCATGTGTGCATGCATGCATTGTCATGCAGAAACACAACACCCAATATCAATTACAGTGGTACCTCAGGATACGAAATTAATTCGTTCCGAAACTGAGATCGTATCATGAAAATGTCGTAAGGTGGATCATCTTTTCCCATACGATTACATGTAAAACCAAATAATTCGTTCCAACGCGAAAAACATACTCAAATTAAAGCCAAGTAATACATTTAAAAAAATAACTGTAGTAAGAAAAACAAATGAAAAATGCGAACTAATGTAACGTCGTATGGTGAGTTTTTGTTCGTATCGTGGAGCAAAAATATGTTCGAATTTCATGTCGTATCCTGAAAATTTCGTATGCTGGGGCGTTCGTAACCTGAGGTACCACTGTATATATAATAAAAGATATAGTTAACATATCTAAATATTCTCATAAAGATTTATTAAATAAAAGATAAAATACAAAAGCATACAAAAAAGACAATAATAAGGTAACATGAAACTTGAAAAACAAAATCAATAATAGGTGGAGTTAAAATTTTCAGACAGTTGTGTAAGATATGTATCAACTGATGCTTTTTTAACCAATAATTGTAATAGTAATATAATATACGAAGAATAAAATTTAGAAATATCCTATATACATTTATGTAAAATGGATTGAAGTTTGTGATAATTTTAAAAACGTTATTAACTAGAAGATTATGTTAAAATTATGAAATTCAAATTGAAATGGGAAACAAAGAAAAGAAAAAAAAAGAGTTAATTTAAAAAATTCATGAGTATAATAATTAAAAACATGTTTGTAAATGTAGCATTTTAAATATGTGCTTCATGATAACACCTGTGCAACATTAAATTATTTTAAAAATATATAGAGTAATTATTTCATCAAGTGTAAGCAAACAGGAGTAAAAGATAAATTTTAGGGTTGGAATACAAAGTGAAATTTAAAAAAATTTATTTTAATAATAATTTGTACAATGGATGTTTGTTAAGAGAATTTATACTATAAGAAATAAATATGTATAAATTATGATTATACTTATAGATTTCAGATTGATTTTTCTGGGAATTGCATATATTTTAAAATTTCATTTGGTTCTGTAGTAATCAATTGAGTAATGATGGTCATTTGAAAGTATTGTAATCAATATTTTGTGTATTTCGTTGCAGTACACATAGTTAACTGTACAGTGGTAATCATATAAC